GCCTCTTCCCGCTGCCACACACTGCTTCACCCAGCTGGCAGAGGCAGGAGAGAGGATTTAGGCAAGAAGCCTCACAGCTCTGTGCCAAATCCTCCTCCTCATCTCCTGAAATCCCTGTGTGAGCAAGCCGGCGGTGGCTGCTGGGATGAGCTCAGCGAGGCGAGGCGGCAGAAGGCTCCCGGCAGCAGGGAAGCCCCGGTCCTCCCAGGCACCGGGAACTACCGGGAATTGCCACTCCTGGTTCTCCCTGCACGTCATTCCTGCAGAGCAAGGGATCTGCAGCAACAGGTGGTGGTGGCTGCAATCCTGCCCGGAGTCAACAGCACCGAGCAGCCAGAGCAGCACGGAGGAGCTGGCAGAGCCAGCTTTGCACCGAGGGAAATAAATACATACACACTCGTGTGACTCATGGATGTATGGAGAATGGAACAGGTCACAGGCGGGTTCTAGAGACTCACCCTTGCACGGCAAAGCAAAAACCAGCAGCTGCGTGTCATTTCCCTCAAAGCAGAAGGTTGGTGTAGAAAAGAGCAGCTTACCTCCAAGGATTTAAACGGGATTTAAAGGACCTGATTTCCAGAAGCGCCTCGAGTTCCACAGGTGAATCCAAATCTCGCCTGGAAAAGCTGAACCCACTTGTGCCATCTCCAGTCCTTCTCCAACGGGCACAAAAAAAAATAGCTATCACTTTAAATTCACTGATTTATATGTGCATTTTTATATATTGACTGATTTTTTTGGGGTGCCTGAATGGTAGAGAGTGGTTTTAAAAAAAAGAAAAAAATAAATCTCCACCTATAAAAAAAGAAAGGTTCAGAAAAAGAACCCCAACCTCCTCCTCTTCCAAAACACACCCTACAAAACCTTCCTGAGTTGAAAATGTCAATACCTTCATAAGGTGAGGCCTTGGTGCTCCTTATATTTACTCCAAAAAAGTGCATCCATTCCTTTCACCTGCCAGCAGGAAAATTCTCAGTGAGGACCTAATTAGGGGAAATGCCTGGAAACAGTGTATTGGATCCACCTGGGACAAACTGAAATAAGTGTCCTTCCCCTCTCATTACACTTACAGCATAGCCTTCAAAAATCTTCTTTTACTGCTTTCTACTGGCTTTTGGCCGAGTAATTTTAAAGTCTCACTACATTCCTTTGTTTTTGCTCCAAGTGATAAAAGCCAGGGAAATACCTTTCTTTGCCCCTGCAGACCTAGGACTCAGTAGAGTGGATGGATGGATGGATGCATGGATGAATGGATGGACAGATGGATGGGTGGTTAGTGCCCAGATCTTCCTCTGTAGCTCAAATATGTATTTTGAAGGTGCCCATTTTATCCCCTAGGTACCCATGATATAATAATTAACATATATTTAATAAGCTAAAGCAACTTCACCCACCTCTGTCCTACCTTGGGGAGGAGGCAGGGTCGTGACGCAGCTCCTTTCATCCGCACACCACAGAGTTTAGTGCCTGTTGCTGCTTCTGGTAGCTTATTTTGAGCTGACAATAATGCAAGCAGCGTGCAGGCACATGTGTTTAAGACTCATGACAATCTGCAGAAGCACCATTTCCTCTCAGATGTTGCCAGTGCTGGGCTCTCGAGAAATCCTCAGCAATGTGTGGTTTTTTTATATGAGTTTGGGTTTGTGCTTTTCCCCCCCCCCTTCCCTCCCTTACATTATATGAAAGTTTTCTACTCATCATGAGGATGATTGTTCTAGGGCTATGGGGTAATTAAATATACAAAAAGGCTTGGCAGTTGTAGTAGAGAATACTCTTTTAGAAATGCTAACAATATGTTAAATCCAAGGAATTCCACCCCTAGTACTCCATGGGGTCATAAATAAGTTCAGTGCAGGGGATATAAGTATAAATGACACCATCTAAAAATCAGGTACATGACTCAGTATAGATATTGAGTTTATGTCTCACTTATCCCTTAGTTACTAAGGGTAGTAACCCCTCCCCCTCACTTCCATTATGTTCATTATTTTACACCTGAACAAAATCATATATATGCCATTAATGGGTTTTTACTTCATGATGCCTTTTGTGCTAGAATTAAATGGAAATACGTCATTCTGCGAGTACTCCCAACTTTCATGGGAAGTAAATTCTTGCCACCCCTCCCCTCCCAATGCTAACTGTCCAGCTATGAAACAGGGGGCTATCTGCCCTCCAAGTGAGATTTTATTGCTAAAATAGAGTAAAAATTGTTTTTAAAACAAAGAACACACATCTTTATAGTAAAACTCAAGTTTGTTTTACAATTAGAGAAAAGAGTCACATGGTCCCCCAAAACCCCCCCGAGTTTTATATATATATTTCGAAAATATATTTAAAAACATAAAAAACTCTAGTTAAACATATATTATGTTAATCAGTACACTTAAATATAGCTTAATTATATTTACAATATGACGCGGTTGCTTTTAAATTTTAATGCCAATTTCAGTATTTTCCCAAAAAACCATAAAATTATATAAATATACAATAAATATTTATGTTACACAAAATGAATAATAGAGAACAAGGCCACAGACATTAACTTACAGTTGCAAGAGTCTTGTAACACAGCACTAGGCCTGCTGACATGCATGATATACTTTTGTCACATACAGACCACAGCAAGAGTTTAATTAAGTAATACGAAAGAAAACCAATCCCCTCCCCTCTCCACCTCTGTTTTAGCTACAACTGCTCAGCCTGCGATCGTGGCAGTGTCAGGCCAGGCAGGAGAGAGCCACGGGCCTGCAGCTTCATTGCCAGCTCCACCTCAGGTCAACAGGTTATGGGGAACATCACTCTGGACGCAGTCACAGCACACAGTTCTCAGGGTTCCCAGCTCCACCCTTTAGTCCCCCCCACCTGCATGGGCTGTCCTTTACCCCTCTGCACTCACCCTCCCACTGCTCTAACCCTGCCACACCAGCACTGCCCCTACTGTGCCAGGTGAGGATTTCTGAGTTAAGGACACAGCCATAACTGACTTTTGGGAAATGAGGAAATTTTTTTTCCAGCATGGTTGATGCATTAATGTTTCTCTTTTGGAAATCCAGTTTATCTGAAGTGGGAATTATTTTATTCCTGTATCTAAATTAGACTACTGTCACATCCTAGCTATCTTTTTTTTTTTTTTCCCCCCAATCTAGATGAGTGATCTGATTGTTACTCATACATCAGCATCATCCTGTCCTCCCTATAAGCAACCCACCCTTATTTTGAGAGGAGCCACCATTACACCATTTCTGGGCTGCAGTTGAAGCAGCTCCTGAGCCACGCTGGGTTCACTAAATGCAAATTATAACACACACACAGGTACTGGCCACAGGGGAATGAAAGAGTCTAGTGGAAGGTGTACCTGCCCATGATCTAGATGATCTTTAAGGTCCCTTCCAACCCAAAGCATTCTTTGAGTCTACAATTTAATTTGCACAAAGAACACCTTAGTTGCAGTTTTAAGACATTTCAATAAGTTGTTTTTCTTTCTTTTTTTTTTTCCCCCCCATTTCTGATTTCTGTGTGGGAACCTGAATATCAGCAATGGATGGGGAAATTGATGAAGTTTGATGTTCAACCCTCTCTTCTCACTCACAGTCCAGCAGGCACATGACCAATGCAAAAGGTAGCACTTTGACAGAGTTACCCCCAGGAAGAAGATGCCCTTCTACCCTCAGTAGAAAAGAAAAGAAAAAAAAATCACTCATTTGAAGGTGCCTGTTAGCTTCCAGCATGGGTTTCTACCAGTAATGACAAATGCAGTGTTAAATATGCTCTTCAAAGAGCATTAGGGGGGGATCATACTTCAATAAACTTTGCCTGGTCCAGGTTTTAATTAATGCAGAGTCTGCAGCATTCAGGAGCAGATACAGTTTGCAGCATATTCCTCTTTGTTCAGCTATTTTTCTTCATCTACAGGAATTACAAATACAGCATTCAGTGAGCTCACTAATGAGCTATTTCTGCTCTCAGCCCACAGTAGTCAGTGAAAGTGCTCTGCACAGCTCTCAGCCTCACAACCTTTCCAGCAACACTTCTGGCAGGACAGTGAGAGGGGAACCATGGAGCTAAGATCCTAAGCAAGTTAAACCAACTCCTCCAGCACCTGCTCTTCACTTACTCTGAGAGTATTTTTTTAACCACAGTATTTATTTGTTTCACAAAGTGACGCTGACGGCAGAGGGTTCTGCCTCCTTCCCAAGCTCGTTCCCTGGGCTCCTACAGGCAGAGACATCACCAGACTTTGTCCACCAGCTTTACAGGCTGCTGGCATGCTCTGGATGGAGGGTGAGGAATGCTCAGGACAACACCCAGTAGTGACTGCAAGGGGGACGGCCTCACTCAACCCAAATCACTGTTATTTGTCCCCAAACTGGCTGAACTATTAAGTCCCACAACCAACTTGATTTCAGATCCACCATCATCTTTCTAGACCCTTTTTCTAGTGCTTCACCAAGACATTTGATCCAAGCACAGTCTTTTATTCCATGAAAATCATTGCTCTCAACACTCTAAAGAATATTCTCTATATGACAAGCTCCAGTCCTACGGTAACTGAAATACTTTAAAGATCACAGCCAATGTGCCTCCAGAGAGAGGAAAGGGGAAAGAAAAAATACCAAACACAAACAAACATAGTATAAGCAAATGCAGGTCTCAAAAGACTGCAAATTTAAAAAAAAAAAAAAAAAAAAAAAAAAAAAAACCCAACAAAAAACAAACAAACAAACAACGAAAAAAACCCACCAAGAAAGCGTGTTACCATACAGTTAAATAAGTGCTGTCTTTAAGCCTGAAGTTCAACAATGTGAAGTGGAACATCACCATTCTTTTTCAGTTGCCTCTTTTTATTATTTTTTGTCAGTAGTTGGATTGCTATTGCAAACACCTTCACAACATACAAAAAACAAATTTGTTTTTTTTAATCCAGAATAAAGTAATGATTTTTTTTTTCCTTTTTAAATCTGATGGGAGTTCAAAAGTAAAAGAGAAACAAGTAAAACTATGACAACAGCACCTTGACATTGTTTTAATTCCAACGCTATCAGAAGTTAGAAGCAGTAAACATATATACTAACAGGAATAAAGATACTTACTGTCTAAAATGTAAACAGAATGTTTTGGTTCGATTTATTTTTCTGAAAGAGGACAGTTTATCATTAATTCACAATTGAAGCAGCATGCAATTTTATTTTATTTTTTTTTTAAATTTTTATATTTTCAATTCTTGGCAACGGCGACAAACCACAATGTTATTGAGGAATGTAATGCAGACTTTTTCATTTGCTTGATTTTCTTTTTTTTTTTTTTTTTTTTGGTTTGGTTTTTTTTTGGGGCTTTTTTTTTTTTTTTTTTTTTTTTGTTGTTTTTTTTTTTAGGTTTTTTTTTGTTTGTTTTTTTTAACTTGTGCGCAAATGACTTTTTGTTCCCCTTCAGGTCATGGATATGTTCAATAAATAGATTGTGTAACCACTGTACTGTATAAACTTCCATCATACATGCAGTCCATAAAATTAATTTTTTTTTTACCGAATAATTTACCCTGTTATGTATATATACAAATAGATAATTTTTGTCTCAATATAATCTATACAACACGAACCCACTATCTTCCCCTTTTAATGGTTAATGTACATACACAAGAAGTGTCTATCCTTATGAAGCGCCAGCCAACTCTCTTTTTGTTATCCATGGTGAGAGCTCTCACGTAAGACTGGGTAGTTCGGCACTGGGAGTTCCAGTGCCTCTTGTCTATGCCCCTGCAGCCCTCCTTTGTGTACCCCTTAGGGTTGCATTTGGTCTCGTAGAAGTATTGCTTCAGTTGGCCTTTGGGCACTGGGACTTTTTCCAGGACTGTGACGGTGGCCCCGGACATGTCCACCGCAGTCTTTTTCTCCGCTGCCGTCACCCACTCGCTCGTGCTGTCACACACGCTCAGTTCCCCACGGCGAGCCGGGTCAGAGTGGCGCCGGACCCTCATGGACATGTTTGCAGCATCCAAGTAGTTTTTGTACTCCTCGAGCAGAAAGAGCAGCGGGGGTTCCAAAGGCACTTGACTGCTTAGCATGACTCGGGAGGTGTACAAGTCTGCATCCTTGTTCTCCTCGCTGGGCTGGATGTCCTGGTCCTCGTCTAGCAGCTCCTCTATGACGTGTTCAAAAGTGTCTGCCAGCGATGTCAGTCCCCTTGAACCAGCACTGGGCCCATTTAGGCTCTCAAGGGTCCCGTGGGTCCGAAGACCTGGGTAAGCCAAGCTGCCTTGTCCTCTTAGACCAGCTTCTTTCATTGGGGCAGCTTTCATGCAACTGAAGTATGAGATAACCATAGTAAGGAAAAGGATGGTCATCACTCTTCTCACTTGGTGGAACTGTTAAAAACAAGAAAAATGAATTAAACTTACAAGGCTTGGAGTCATAAAAACTCACCTAAGCTGTCACAAGACTCGGTGCACTTTTCTAGAGAGATCTGCAGCATGCAGCTGCAACTTGTTACCAGGGATAAAGCATACTCTTGTAGAAGAGTGTGCCTTCATTTAGAGTTTCAGATAAAGCATATGCTGCACTTAGGCAACACTGATCCCAGCAAGTCAGAGTTCTCATGTGCCAAAGTCTCTCTGTAGTAAGTATCAGATTAGATATTATGCAGACCCCTCATTTATTGACTGATTACACCTATTTCAAGTAACAGCAAAAAGCAGAACTGCTACTTAGCAGTGGAGCGTTTCAGCAATAAAAGACAGCTTCACAATCATGAAAGGAAAGCCTTCCATTTCAAGTGCTAACGTAAATATTTGATTTTTAAAGATCTCTCTATGGCAAAAATAGCTCATCGATTGTATCCACAAACAAACTGAACAGAACCAGGATAAGTCACATTTGTGTTTTGAAAGCAACCTTCAAAACGCAGGAAGAAACCATAAAAATCTGAGATCAGGGCAGAAATTGTTTCCTCCTCAAGAGCAGAGGAGGAAAGTACTGTTACGAGAACTTTAAGTATTGTTACAAGAACCCCCCAAATCCTGCAGTGACAGAGAGCTATACTTTCTGTCTGATCCCAAGTGCTACTACGACATCCATCACATCCCGTTGTTATTTTTCCGCCTTCTGATCCCTGTTCTCACCAGTCCTGCTTGCTAGAAAGCAATGGCATTGTTCACATTTTTGAAGAAGCAGCTAATGCTTGTTTCAGAGCTTTTGAAGTTCATTCGGAAGTACCTCATACTTGGCAGTAAATGCTATTTCTGTTTGCCAACAGGGTGCTGTGTAGAAAGACTTACTTTATCTCCTGCAAATATGCTGTGGGAAACTAGTACTCTTAAGACTTGAACATGGAAAGGCAATTTATCATAAAACATACAAATAAAATAAAATAAAATGTGTACCAGAAAGGAAATGCCCAAAATATTGGTCTCAAAGTTTACTTAGCGAAGGCAAGGTGGAAAGTGTTTGAGTTTGTGTCCGTGCTCTCCTCACCCCTAACCCCTCACTGAACAAGATTTTGGCCAGGAATTCTCTCTACCTCAGCACAACTCTTCCTTCATCCCTCTATCTCTCTTCCTGTTTAAAAGTGTTGTTGTGGCACACATTTATTGAGATTAAACAAGCCTGACATCTGTGACTCACAGGAACATGGTGTTTGCTCCAGCCATGCAGAACATTAATATTTTGCAGATTTTTTCATCCTAGGATTTTTAAAACATTCTACAGGGAGTGTCAGATTTCTTTCTCAAAGGGAAGAGAGATATTACAGAGGTGATTTACAAAACGAGGAAAAAGATTGTTAGTCTTCCTTTATCAAACAAGGAGAAACAAGACAACTTTTGCTGTCTTGAAAAGGGCTGGCTCAGCTAGCAAACAAATGCAGACCCAGTGGAATAAAAAATAATATGCATACTACATCTTTGGAGAATCATTTTCCGTAAGACCTCAAAGGAAAAGAACCCCGAACACCCACATCACACTTTGTGACCACCAGAGCAGTGAACACAACACAGATCTTCTGGCTCCTAACCAAGTTCCTGTTATTTTTATTAAAGTAGTGCCCAGAGGTCCCAGCCAGTTCTTGACTCTGGAGGACAGAGCCTGTCTGAGCACGTAGGACCCCAAGGGACCTTCCAGCACAAGAGAGAGAGGGCACAACACAAGAGGCACCAAGACAAGCACAGGACAAGGAGAAGCACCCACCAGGTAAGCACACCTTCAAGTTAGTTGGGGGAACAAAGGAGAGAAGGATCCCTCGGACCAGGCCATGTCCTTCACTATTGTCACTGGGCTGTTTACCTCTCAAATAGTGGCTGTGCAGCTTCACTCACAGGGACACTTCTCTTGCAAGGAAAGCAGAGGACAGAGGTGCAGATTGACTTCGATAAGCCCTCAGAATTCTCTGCCCAACGGCTGTTTGATCACCAGATACAACAGTACTTCATATATCACATTAAATTAATTCTTTCTTAATCAGTTTTGGCTTCCATTTAGCGAGGAAACTGCTGTCAAGTTTGATCAGTTTACATCCCATGCAGTGACATACAACTGGCACTATTATCTGGGGTGGCACAAAACTGTGTAAAACTAGACTTTGAAAACCAAGAACTTTTAGACAGCCATTACCCACAATAACATACTGATAATACATAAGAAAACACGTCTGCTTAAAAGCCACTCCTCTTCCTCCCTTTTATAGCAGCAGAAGAGTATGTCAAAGTAAGCCTTAGCAGGACAGACACATGGAATATTGCCAGCAAGAGATCACAGATCAAACATCTATTTCTTTGTAAATGAGTCCCAGACTAAGCTGAAGTCTGCAAGCAGGATGTGAAAAGATTCTTCCCTCTATCTTGACAGTGACTTGAGCAATATACACAGCCCTTGTCTTTGGCAGCAAAATGATATCCAGTGATTTAATACGCTGAAATAATATTTTATCACCTGGGAAATATCTTCATTTTAGAAGCCATTGCAATTTGTTTTAGCAGTTGCTCAAAAATCTACTAGTTCAACATGCTACAGCAGAGTAAGATATCTCACTTCACAACCTTTCAGCTATTGTTGAACTGACATCTGAGTGCACGGTTCATCTCTTTCTTAGTGAGGCAGGACTAATATCCCAGTGTAGCACCAAGGTCACTGGAAACACTTTGGATGCCAGCTTCCAATCCTTTTCCTCTGTTCCCCGGCTATCAAACCTCCATTATATTGCAAAGATTAAAGATACTTCCTGTCCTGTTACAGTAAGTGCCTTGTAAACCCCAAACACTAACATACTACGTACATTTTTCCGATTATGAGCTGGTCACCCTGTCTGGAAGCAGAACTGTGTTGGGAACATGGGAGAAAACTGTGTTTTCCTGTTTTTCCAGCGTGCTACTACTGAGCAAGGTACTGAATATCCCCCGCTCCAAGGCCGTGCCTGGGTCACCCCAGCATTTCTGTGTAACACCAGCACCTCAGGATACCCCGGCAGACCCAGCACCCACTTCCCATGGAGGCTCACCAGTGCTGAGCAACCTGGCTGATAATTCATGTGCTGAGGGCATAAATACAACTGAATGCCAGACAAGGAGAGTAGGCACAACCACTGTAAGACATGCAGTCAGGAAAATACAATGTAAAAATCACCGACTCTGCAGTCACACAACACCCTCATGCTCTCCCTGCTCAGCTGTAGGAGGTTCAGGTCTCTACTCCACACCTTCAAGGACCAACAGGTGAAGACTGCAACCTCTTTGCACTCCTGTTCAGCCACAACTTTGGGCATAAAAGATCAAAGACTTCCCTAGGAGAGGAAATCTTGGTCCAATTGCTGTCCTGTAGACTGTTGTGTACACCCACTAACTTGTATAACATAGATATAAACCAGCCTCCTTGAGAGCAAGCCTGAAACTATTCCCTCAGGACACACAAGACCTCTGTCAGGAATCACATTTGAGACTGGCTTCCTGAATGCCATCCATTCTCATGGCTGCAAGAGCATCCTTCCTGCTTTCATGCAGCACAGCAAAGCTGTAGCAATGAAAAAGAGGTCACCCACCATGGACCAGATCTCAGGAAGACGTGACCTAGTTTGTACTTCAATAAAGTCCATACAATTACAGCTAGAATAAGGGCACATAATTGTGGCAGTCATCTCCACTAATGGGAAGGAGGCTCATTAAATGAAGGTCATGTCAATTATCTACAGCTAGTTTACATATGCAGTCAGTTACCTTGCTGTACTATTTATTTCAGTGTTTGTATTTAATGAGGATTCACCAGTTAATTGTTTTATTTCATTATTTTTAGTTATTTTAAGCAGGAATCTAGCAGCTTAACAGGTTGTATTTCCAGCAGAGAGACCCGAGGGACAGCTGTGAACATGCACTTGCTTTTCTGCATCCTGATATGTGCCATGGAAGTTGAAATAACTTTCAGTAGTGAATAGATTCATAATGCTTTAATCTCCAGAAAGGAGTGTGTGGAGGCAGATAAAATTAGCAGCAAGATGACATTCATTTTCTGCCTTGCCATTTTCTAAGATCTTTACACAAAAGTTCAATTTACTAAATACTACTGAATGCCACAGGCATGAGTTTCTGCTTTACGCATCATTACCAGAGTGTGTGCACAGATATCAAAATGGGATGCGTGTCAGCACATGAGTTGCAAAGACTAAATGCACAGAGAACAAATACTATTAACCTTTATCACATGCATAACTAGATGTCTGACACACTCTGGTTATCCTTGAGGCCATTTATGCAGCAAACTGTATAATTATTTTTTATTACTGCAAATAAAGCGCCCACCCTCCCGATACATACACATGCACACCCACATCCAATTTGTATTCTTGTAAATTGGTGCTTCATGTCAGGAAGAAGAAATCTATTTTATTTATTCTCATGTTGGTTTTCCCCGAGGTAATAACATCTACTTAGCCACAATGCCAGAGATGGCAGAGACTAAGAAGCATTTTGAAGTCCAAGATAAACAGCAAGCAAATTTACAAGTAGTGTTAACTTTAACTACAACTTTTAACATGAGAAATTTGCTTTCATCTTATGTTGCTAAATTTTGCCTGTGGTACGGCTTCTGAGAGCAAAGAAGCTCCAGCAATGCCTACACTGGCTCTAGAGAAGCGTGCATCTGTTTAAAGCACTACAAGGATAGTTCCAAGGTGCGGTTCCAAGGTTTTATCAGACCTTGTTCTCACCAGTGCATACAAAAATCACAGCCTCTCCTGAAAACCAGAGGTGGGAAAGAACCCAGAGAAAATAATGGCGAAATCATAATGCCATGACATCACAGTCCTGATCTTTCACAGAGCTGTGCATCAGAGTTTCTCCTACAGAGTTTCACCGTACCTTTCTGGACACTCAAACAGCAAAGTACA